GTTTAGGGTTTAGGGATATGAGGAGCATGAGAATTGACACAGGGGTGGTATACGAGTTGATAGGGCCGAGGGCTTCCTGAAATTAGGAGTGCCTTTGCGGCGGGCCACATCTAAAAGATACTTCTATTTTGGTGTCTGCATTGGGGTCCCCATATCCATAGGAACGATCATGTGCTGTTAGGAACTTATGTTCAGTGAAGGGCTTAGATACAAGGGCCAAAAAATCGCTTGCACCATTTAAATTCAAGCATTTGCAACTGTAACAAACATCAGACATACCATCGCCTGCGACTAAAACCCAAACCACCTAGACCTTATGACCAAATTCCCCTGGATGCCTCCCAAGCTGCAATTTGCTTAGGAGGCGTACAGGAACCCTCGGCCTCACACCCCAAGTAGGTCTTGGGTGGTCTAGGGAGGGTTTAAGGTTGGTAGAGATTGGGGCTCATTAGGGTTGAGGGTTTAAGTTTTAGGATTCTGCAGGGATTTGGGTCTGGGCTCTTTGTTTTTGTTTCGGCTCTTTAGGGATTCGCCCTTGGGGTCCGCTAGGGTTTAGGCTTTGGGCGCCTGTCGGCCTCAGGCCTTAATCCCTAAACACTAGAGTCTTTAATCCCGTATATAACCACCCTTAAGGAGTTTAGACTATGGTTTGGGTTGAGGGTTACCCTATTTTATATAATCCCCTATATAGCCGTCCTTTGAGGAGTTTACACTATGGTTTGGGGTTTAGGGTTGAGGTGTTGGGGTTGTTTTGGGGAGGGGCTTAGGGCTCAGGGCCTAGGCTGGCCCGTGCGTTTTGGTTGACCCAACTTGAGAACTGCCTTCAGGTTTGGGGTTTGTGGTTTAGGGTTTAAGGGTTAGGGTTTAGGGCTTGGGGTTTAGGGTTTAGTGTTTGGGGTTTAAGGTTTAGGGCTCGGGGTTTCAGGGTTTGGGGTTTTAGTGTTTGGGGTTTCGGGCTTGGGGTTTAAGGAGGTTAGGGGTCCTCCAGGCTTTGGGAAGTGGCGTTTCAGGTGTTAAGGCCTAGCTAGGGTTTCTTCAGGGCTTGGGGGTTCTTGAGCCTTTGGAGCTCTTCAGGATTTAGGGTAATCTTTTAGGTCTAGGCTTTGGGGTCCTTGAGGTTTTTGGGCTTGAGGTTGTTTAGGGCCAGGGATCCTCTAGGCCCTAGTTTAGGGTTTAAGGTTTAGGGTTTAAGGCATAGAGCTTAGGGTCCAGGGTTTAGAAGGTTCAGGGTCTAGATTGGAACCAGGTGTTCTTTAGGGCTCCTCCTGAGATCAACGCCTGATATACCCGAGAAAAAGCCGGCAGCGTTGAAAAAAAAGGATCACAGGCGATGATAGCTCCGATTTTAAGGGTGTAGGGTCATTCTGGTAACTGAACTGAATTCCGTGCAAGTCAGAGGATTTAGCATCTTAGGTTGGGAGTTTTAGAGCTTGGGGTAATACCTGGCGCTTTCTACTCATGATTTGCGGCTAACCTCTTGTTCAATGTCCCTCTGCAGACTTCTGACGAAACTTGAATTGTCCATCTCTTTTGCGCAGTAAAAAAACCTATGCATGTGTCTAAGATGTCTGCCAACACTGACTCAATTGCCACGCATTTCAAGCCTGCTTGCCATGGACTCCTCACATGTAATGGCACGGCATGATGCAAGATTGTAACATGTTGCCGAGGCTGATCTACCGCCTGCGAAGCCATCGAAAGCAATTGCGAATCGCGCTTCTGTGTGTCTGTGATTTACCCAAGCGATCAGGGCTAAACTACTCCTGCATGGTGGTAGTACGTATACTAGAACACCATATTTTCCGGGGTATGAGGCATCTGGCGTCATGACGTGTTAAGCCGTAGGACAGAATCTGGCTGATGGTCAGTGAATTTGAAGGGACTTTGTCCATAGGTAGGTATGTTACAGAACATTCTTGCGCCCATATTCGTAATTAACGGATTCTACCTGGTTCAAATGTTGGCATGTTCCTGCATAGCTTTTGCCCGAGGTCCTAGCCATTCTTGGGGATGTGGTGAAGTTGGGAAGGCTGTCTTTCGACCTGAGAACACACATTGTGACTTTGCAAGTGCCTGTTCGCACCCCTTGAGACCCTAAACCCTAAACCCTAAATGAAGTCACAAGAGGTGCCGTGCAGGGCCCTACACACCATGCTGGCAGTGTGGTAGCGGCAGTACTGCTTAATTGCCGCAGTGCCGAGCTGGGCGCTTCATAGTGCTGAGCATGCAATAATGTAAGATCACTGGTGTCAGTGCTGATTCATTGCCAGATGCCGTTCAAAACCCCTACTTGTCTGGAAACTATCTGAAACCTGGGGTGCCTGGCACAGTAACTTAGAAACATGACAGCACAAAGTGGGGTCCAAAGGCAACTCCTCAGCACAGCAAACGCCATGCAAAATGCTCAGCATGACCTCCTATTTGCTAGTCACCCTGAGCCACTACCAACCATGAATGAAGGTAGTAAGGTTCCAGTTGCTTGAGCAAAAGGATCTCAACTTAGAATTGTCTGAGCCTCTAAGTTGTGCAGAATGCTAGACTTCCGTGTTGACTTAAACATATTTTGGGTTTAGGGTTTAGGGTTTTAGGGGACATGATCTACCTACTTTTGGGTTAGTACATGTTCAGGCTTGGGTAGTACTGTCTCCAGCCCGTGCTTCCTGAGGGCAGCGAGCCTGACAAACCCTTAAACCCAAGGGAGTGGGCTGGAGGGTAATAGGAGTTTTAGGGCTTGGGGTTTAGGGTTTATAGGGTTGTAGGGTTTAGGATTTAGGGTTTAGGGGTAAACGAGATGGGGGGCAGGTAGGGACCAGTTAGGTCTTGTTTTGTTCTCATTAAGGTACCCCTACCAATCCTGACACTCTCCCCCAGAGCCCCTTCTTCGTGTCTTTCTTCAGCAGAAGTCCAGGTCAGCAACCCAGATTGCTGCGACTATACTTAGAGGTTCCATTAAACTACCACCTAGTCACAACAATACTTCTAGCCCATTTCTAAGCCCCCTACGTCACCTAATATGGCTATGATGGGTTATAGCTGCCACTGATACTTGGGTTTTTAACTATCTTGAATCTCAAAATAGTAAGTCTCGTTATAGAAGCATATAATAAAATAGCATCACCTAGTATAAGACCGTAATGTTGCGCTCATGTCGTGAAGAGACCTTCTTCATTGGTGTTTGGGACGCCGCTTGCAGCTGTTCCAACCGTTGTTTGAAGACCCCCTTTCCTATCTTTCTGCCTTCTACGCGGCACTTAGGACCCCTACTGATAGTTAAGCCTTATAAGGTACCTATAATGGGAGTGTGAGGGAATCCCAAGGGGTTTAGCGTCTAAGGTTCAAGCTAAATCCCAAGGAGCCTTGAGGACCTAGCAGACTCCAGATCCCTTTTGAATCAATTGCCCCTAAAGCCTGAACCCTAGGAACCCACCAGGCACATGTACCCTACAAATGGCTCCCCCACACGGCTCGAAGAAGGCGCAGAGACTTAACAGATATTCCTGAACAAGGACTAGCCGGAGGAGCGAGGCCTGTTGGGATTTAGGCGCTGAGGTTCAGGGTTTAGGGTTTAGGGAAACCCGCAAAAGACAAGACATCCTTTGAAGGTCTGAAGTTCTGCACCCAAAACATCCCGGAAGCAATCCTGGAGCGTGGTGGCATCAAGAAGGCGTTTGCCTCCAACACTAAAGCAAACCTTGAACATCACCAGTACACGATGTAAGCAAGAAAAACAACAACCTGCAAGCCCTGCATTCCCGCCAATCCCCTATTAACCCTACAAGCCCTATACTGACCCTAGACCCGGAATCAAAAGCTCTCTGCTGCAAATCCTAAACCCTGAACCCGATCCCGGACCCTAGACCCTGATCCAAAATTGTCAATCCTACACCCTGAATCCTAAACCCTAAATCTCGACCCTAAACCCTGAACCCTAAACCCTAAACCGTAGATCCCAAACCCTTACTGCTTCCCCCTGAGCATCGTGGCCTCAGACCCCGAGGCGTCTCCGGGGGTCTGGTAGGCCGGGAAGAGACGCCAAAGGCAAGACCTCAGTGTCGTAGGAGCCTTAAAGAATTAGGGTTTAGGGTTTAGGAATTAGGGGTTTAGGGTTTAGGGTTTAGGAATTTGGGTTTAGGGTTTAGGACTTAGGGGTTTGGGGTTTAGGATTTACCTGAACCCCCAAAATATGTAGAAAAATGGCCTCTTGGGCTATATTTAGGTGTGTTGGGCTATTAATTTACTCGCTTTTTGGGTTGAGGTAGGGTTTAGGACTTAGGGGTTTAGGGTTTAGGAACGAGGGTTTTAGGGTTCAGGGTCTAGGGTTTGGCGTTTACGGTTTAGGAATTAGGATTCAGGGTTTTGGTTAGACGGTTTAGGGGATTAGGGTTGGGGGTTTCATTCGGATTTTAGGGTTGTTAGGTATAATGTGTAGGGAATTGGCGGTTTTGGGTTTTCTAGGTCAGAAGGCTTAGGAAAGTAGGGTGTAGGGTTTTACAGTTTTAGGGTATAGGGTTGAGGGTTTGTAGGGTGTAGCAATTAGGGTTGGGGTGTAGAGTTTAGGGGGCTTTGGCAAATTAAGGAATTCCAGAAGGTTTGAAGAAGTAGAATCAGGTTTGATTGCTTAGGGTATAGGGCTTAGGCTCTCAGGGTTCAGGGCTTCAGGGTTTTAAGGCTTGAGGGATAAGGGCTAAGGCTTTTGGGGATGAGGTTTTAGGGTTTATGCTGATAGGCGTTATGTAGAGTTTGGGGTGTAGGCCTAGAGAACAACGGACAATAGCGTTAGGGGGGAATGGATAAGAACATAAAAGCTACTATGTAATTTGAGGCGGGAGGCTGGGAACTAGAGGTCCTTGAAGAAGAATAACCCACGATAGAAAAACACATGAGCTGTAGTCTAAACTCCTAGTATCCCCATTAATAAGCCCTGTAATACTCCCGAGTAAAATCCCTGTATAACCCCCCTTCAAGGAGCTTAGACTATAACTCATATGGAAACTAGGGGGCTGATGTGGTGCAATGCGGGCCTTGCGTCCCCTGCTGTGCATGTTTCACCTCCACCTTTAGGGTTTAGGGTTTAGGGTTTAGGGAATCCGGCTCCCGCTCTGTGAACGCGTCCTTTTACTTTCGTAAACATCCACTCTAGGTTGGGAAAAAGAAGCAACAGCACACAACATGTGCCCTCTGAATTGCTGTATACATGCTGAACTACCTGTTCTACACTATGAGCTGTATACTCGATGCATATATCCACATATACATGTACATTTATTTGGAGGTGGTATATACCATATTATGAACCGCCACAAGTACATGTTCGAGGTGTACATATATATATATATACACATATAATATTGATAAACATATATATATATAGATATATATATATATATAGTTCAAGGTAGGGCCTCAACATCGGGCAACGCTGTCATGAGCAGCATCAACTTTCAGGGTTTGGCGTGCTTTGGCTTCAGGCAGATAATGTCCACCGTGATGGAGCGGTTTAGGGTTTAAGGTTTAGGGTTTAGGGCCTGCTACATGACAGGAATACAATTCCAAGTAAGTCGATTCCAAGCCCTCCGTTTTGACTCCGAGCCTCCATACCCCAAGCCGCAATTTCTAACCAGCCTACGTCCTGAAAACAAATCCCCAAGCCCTAGACTTGAAACCCTATGAAGCCTCATGCTAGGTTTGGGCCTAGGGAAAACCAACACAGGAAGAGTCGAGCCATGGACAGGCTGCCCAAAGGCCTGGCAGATTAGAGAGGGTGACATATTGGGCCGTTCCCCCAGGCTCGGGGCTCAGGGTTGAGGATTTAGAGTTTAGTGTCCTTGGTTCAGGGATTAGGTTTCGGATTCAGGGTTTAGGGTTCAGGATTTAGGGTTCAGCTTCAGGATATAATGGTATAACTGGAATATAAGAGGACCCTAACAGCATCTCCACTGTCCTTGAGAGTCACTGTTACTGGGTGGCGTTCCACCTAATATATTGAGCCATTCCCCCGGGCGCAGGGGTTAGGTTTAGGGGGCAATTACAGTTCCTAATACCTTCTATGGTAACTGCTTTTGCTTGAAAGGGCCTGTTGTCTTTATAGGGCCGTTTTTGGGCTTCCATGTTACTGTTAGGATATCTGCATGGCTGCATTTTACAAGCAACCCGAATCTCTAAGCCCTAAACTTACTGGTTCTTCCGGCTTAGGGTTTAGGGTTTAGGGAATAAGGGAATAAGGGAATAACCGTTACCTTTGAATCCTTCTTGAAGGCTCAAGAGACGTAGTAAGTAGGTTCCAATTGGAAGTTCCAATGGGAATCATGAGTCCGCTGTTAGCCTGCTTATAACCCCCTGTATCACCTTACCCTAAACCCTTTAAGCCCTAAACCTCAAACCCCTCAACCCGAAACCCTGAACAGCTCAACCCCCAAGTCTTCTAAGATACTCCGTTAACCAAAGGCCCGAAACTTGAGAATGGAGATCTGCTCAGCGATCCAAGGTGATTAAAAAATCAAAATGTCACTGGTACTTACCACCTCCTTGTACCGTTTAAATGGGGGGGTATATGATCCCTGTTTATAGGGTATATAGAGGGTAGATGGAGGGTCGAGGTACTTCAAACCACGCTAGGGGACTTAGGTGCGTATAATTCGACTACAGGTACAGTCCTAATTGTCACTGGCACTGCCAGCCCAATTGGGAGAATTTTCAGGGGGACTAAGAGGCTGAGATATAAATCTAGTTCTACTTGGGTTGAATTGCCCCATCGCGTGCGAATGATGCATGATAAAGCGTCAGAAGCGCCTAGATGGCCGTATGGCACGACCGCCGGACTTGCCCTAAATCCCCTAAACCCTTAAAACATCGCGTATGGAATCTTGCAAGCTCTCGACTGGCACATTCGTAGCAGCCAAGAAGCCAAGGTGTTTCTGTAAACTTGGTATGATTTAGCCTACTAATATTACCACCATTGCTATTGTGACTACTATTACCATTAATGCTATTCTTACTAATATTACCAGTACGAATATTACGAATACTGAAATTAATATGACTATTATTAACATTCACCCAAACCGCTGGATACATTCTGGCACCACACCTGTTGACGCGGCAAGCGGTGGCACCTCCATGCCATCTAACCTACCCTGCCAGGCGTATGCGAGCGCAAATGCCTGCGCGACCACTGCTTTCATAAATCCATCATTTACTTGGCCTCTGAGCAAAAACGCGATGCAAGTGCACAAGTCCCGAGCGCCTGCAAATATCAAATCTTGCGCCAAAATGGGGATGGAACCCCGAACTCTAAACCCCATATCCTAAGCCTTCATTTACATGGGGACCCGCTTCACAAGAAAGACTGAATTTCAATCTCTTCAGAAACTTCTTGGCGCATCATTTGGTAGTTTCCCTAAATAGGGGGACCCCAATATAGACCCTAAAATACTATAATCTTTATTATGGGGACCCCCAAAACCCTAAATCCTACACCCTAAACCCTAATCCCTAAATCCCTGAACCCTAAACCCTAAACCTTAATTTAGGGAAAGCCCTATTTGTACCTTTTGTCATGACCCCAAAGTCGTCAACCATCCAGAGCGCCCATTGAGGCCGGCTCCCATGTTCCAAGCTCCTAATTGAGGGTTTAGGGTTTAGGGTTTAGGGATTTAGGGTTTAGGGTTTCCACGGAATGGGGCTCGCTGGTGCCAAAGGCACCCGAGCCGCTCGCCCTGCGTACGCGTAGATGTCCCGCCCCCGCCGGCGCTCCACCCAAATCTCAACCTCTGCGGGTTTAGGGTTCTCTACCCCCCAACCCCCCCAGCAAGGGGGGCTTACATCTCTTTTTTAGGTGCGGGTGTGAGGTGCCTAGGCGAACAAACGCCGGGCAAAAAAAATGCGCTGACATCGCGTGTCGGCATGGGCTCAGGGCCTCAGAGCTTCGATCTCTAGACTAGACTCTAGACTTGTGCGCATATGGGTGTAGCCACACGAGTGCCAAGTTTTGCACGCACAGCAGCTATAGACTTCAGAAGATTGTGGTGGATTTGCATTGCCACTGCTTGTCATACTGGTCCTATACAATCAAGGAACGCAGCAAATAATGCAAAACTTTGCTGTGCAGACTTGCAGCCAGGGAGCATAAGTTTGGATTTTTGCGTTTCGTCCAAAACCTCCTGCGCAGACACCACTTCCCGAAGTGAAAGCACAACCGTCCCAAAACCAAAACCGTTACCGAACGCAGGAGGTTCTGTAGGAGGACTTTCGCTCCACTAATAATTGTTTTGAAAAAATGAACCCAAAACCGGCCGCAGTACTTTGCCATTTCGACGAAATCCATCGTTTAGAAGCAAAAATCACCGAGGCCGCTCGGAGCCTTGCGAAAGATCCTTCCCAACTATATCGGAGGCCATATAGCAGGACCTCATAGCAGTCCACGGAGCCTGGCTTCTGTGTGGAAATGGTAAACTAGGTGCCTTGAAAAGGCCGATTCGGACCCTCCGTACGCCTGACCCATGCAAGCTCCGCGGCCGAAATGTGCTCCGATAGAGGCAAAACGCATAGAAAAGCAATTCGAAAAAAAATGTTTGGGCAGGCACGGCCACAAAAGCTTCGTTCTGCCTGTCCAAGGGGTGTGCGGGGGTGTGTGGAGGGTGTCCCGGACAAGTGTCCGGAGGCACGTCCGGGAAGTGTCCGGGATTGGCTCCCAGATGTCTGGGGAGGACCCCGGACGTCTGGGGGGGGCCCCCGGGGGCCCCGGAACCCCTAAATCCTAAACCCTAAACCCTCAATCCTAAATCCTAAACCCTAAATCCTAAATCCTAAATCCTAAGGGATGCTGCGATTTACCCTAAGGTT